CTTTTATTTAAAAATAGGGAAACAAAGTAACTTACCATTGCAGCTATTCTTTTACAACAACAGGATGTTGGATCTTGTGGAGATCTTACAATGGTAATGTCTCCTCTATAATCAATATAAAATTAATTATGATTATTATTTTATTTTTTTGGAATTGTATTAGATCATTATAAAATGCCTGTGGCTCAAATCTTTTTTTTTACAACTGAACTGCAGAGGTAATGGGATTGAGTCCTGTGTGCATTTCTGAGTCTACAAAATGTAAATGGTTTTAAATGTGTATTCCATGGATGTTGTATGCATATGTGCTTTTAAAACTAGCCTCCTTCCCAGTTAACCCTTTTCTGAGGGATTCCTGTGTTAAGGCAGAAAATCAGCTGGAGGGGGGAGGGGTTAGGGAGGGAAGGATCGTTGCTCCTAATCTCTTGGCCAGGATAAATCAACAAAATATCAAGGAGACAAAATTTCATTTCCTTAGGAGTAGCCTGTGAAGGAAGCTACACTAAAATTACCTTTTCAGCAAGTGCAAATTTCTAGTAACACGTTCCGTTATAACAACATCGCCTGATGATTGACTGTTTAAAGTTGGCAACATAGAAGGTCCAGTAAGCTAAAATCAAGAATATAAGTTATAAAGATAGTGCCGTGTATCATGAAATTTTTAAACAATCTTGCAAGTGATGCAAAAGAGTGACCTCCAAAACCACAGGGAACCTTATTTCTTGCAAACGTCTAGCCTGCTAACAAGTTTTCCTGCTGGGGGTCAGGAATGGGGAGTATACATATGTAGGAGGTCCTCCCCATTCCTTCTCGGCCCCCCAGCAGGGCGCCTGTTAGCAGGCTAGCAAACATCTGAAAATTCTTTGTTTTCACCATACGTTACTGTGGCCATCTTAGTCCAGTCATCCAGTGAAATTTGGGGGGTGGGGTAGGAACAAATTGCAAGAGAATTTTTAACACTGTAGTTTGCAAGGTTTAGTCAACCTAAACAACATACTAAAAGTCCCAAAAAATCCCAGCGGTGGAACAACCTCAAAAGGGGATTTTAAAATATCGTAAATTACACAGGGAGCCCAATTCCGGTGAAGTTGTAAATTTACTTAGAAACTGTGAAGAAAGCATCATTAAACATGCATTTGAACTCACAATTTAGGAAAGTAACATCAAGAATCAAAACAAACTGGTAAATATGTTTTTAAAGCCTTTAGGCGTAAAATTTTGCAGGTTTTTCATATTTTTACACAGGAATCCCATCTGTTTACAATTAGTGAAATTATTTTTCAAAAATAGAATGAACTTTAAAAAAACTATTTACTATA